TTTCATGACCAGGGGGAGTTGAGCTTGAACAGGGGGAGTTGAGGTTGACCAGGGGGAGTTGAATTATGATACAGCACGCGACGAATGCTTAGGCGCAAATTTGCAATATGTTTTCGTGGATCTTTTGACGATCTTTACCTGATGCTCGATGCTGTAACGGCAGAACTTGTAAACGCTGTGGTTTATATAACAGAACGGTTTCAAGTTTCAACTCCGTGTTTCACGTCTTATTCATAGACCATGAGGTATGATTTATATTCAGAGGATAAAGCTTGCCCGAGCCCTTGTTATTCTTTTTTTAATCATTCAAGAACTACATAAAAAACATCTCAAAAACTTGCCCTTACTATTATTGACCAAAAGGGGTTTCCTTTTTATACCTACTTATATTCCTGCGAATCCTTTTTTCTCTAAGAATTTCAAATACATAAAAATACTCAAAACGCCAGGCCCATAGCGAAACGTTCAGGGCCTTCTTTGTTTGGTTTGAATGCTGTGTTAGAATCCCTGTGTTCAACTTTTGCACTGCACTTCAAGGGCTTCATTCCACCAGCCACGTTATTTTTTTGGTCAAGCTGATCAAGTTCTAATAAATGGCTGCAAAGAGTCAAAAATTAAATTTTGCTTTGAAAATTTGTGGGCTCGGGCCTTTTGCCACTGCGGGCCATCATATCATATTTGACTACAGTTTCTATACTTTTGTACCCTAAGTGAATATAAGAGGGGCGAGCTGCAAATTGCGTTCAATTGGCATAAAAGCTGAAACCAAAAATTACTATATAAATCAAGGCATCCAGGCTTTTTAGTTTATGGAAGGCTTTCATTTCATTATGGCTTATTAGCAGGGGTACGGAGTTTGTGCATAGCAACACCCTGGGTTACCAAGCCTTACGTTTTAGAACCCCTCAGAATAATTTCTAGATCCGCCCCTGCTGTTTGTATTGTACAAATGCCTATGCTTATGGGCGGGATTCTATGGCTGGGTGTTACTTGTTTCCACTTTCCCGGTAAACTTCTTAAAAACGTTTTTTCTATTGACTATGGGTGGAAAGGAACTTCTTAAAAAAAAGAAAATATTGTAATGCGATTTCAGGGTGTAACAGGACCAATCATATTGTAAACTGTAATCACGTGATATGTCAATTATAATTAATAGAAGTATATAAATCGAGAGATTGGAAATAAGAGGAGATTGGATTTTGATTTGAATACAGAAGAAAGTGGTGTTCTCTTTTCTCAACACTCTACTGTTACGACTTATCACAAGGGGGAGGTGTAACAGGATATTTCTTATATTGTATAACCTCGTTTTCATTTGTACCTCGTTTAGTTTTATGTCAATCATGTAATTAATCTATTGTATGCCGTTAGTATATATATCATGAGATTTTGTAAATAAGGACTTTTGATATCTCAATTATTCGTTTCTCTCATGAAATCTTCTCGCATAAGTCTGCGCAATACAGCGTAAGACCTTTACAGAGGGGGGGGGGGGGGGGCCCCCCGGGTTTTTTTATATTGAAATTATTGTATTGTATTAATAGTATTGAAATTATATAAAGGGAAGGGGGTGTTCTGCAAAATGAAAAGAGTATCGCTTCAAACATTAGACGAGGGCTACGCAAATCATGTCTTTTAACGTCAAAAACAGTCAAACTCCAAAAATTCGATTGCCTGAAAAGTCGAATATTTGTCTAAATCGACCAAAAGTCTGTTTCCTTGATAACCTTTACTTTTTAAGTGAACTTTTGAAAATGAAAGTAAATGTTTTCCCATTTGAAAGTTAAATTATTGGACTTGAACTGTTTCTTTGATAAAAGTAAAAGATGCTCAAAGAAACTGAAGGAGGATGATAAACAACCATATTCAATATGTTCGAAATATCTATATTCTGATAAAAGACAAGATTTTCGACAAATCGTTTAAGGGTCTTGCGCAGCCGGCATGCTTTGCGACTATATTTTCGAAACCGGCCTAATATAGTACTGCATGAAGATGCATAACACAATCAATTTCTCAAAAAAGCTGCCGCTAAGCATACCGGTTGCGCAAAAGACTTTACAGTGCAGCTATGGGGAGGACAATTGCCATTTGCCCTCCCCATAGCTGCACTGCTGGAGGAAAAAATCTATAGCTTCCTTAAAGTAATAATTCGGTATCGAAATACTTTGAACATTGATGTAAAAATTTGGCATTAAGGTTACGGTAAACGTTTTCGACACGAGATTTGGATCTCTCCCTAAAAACAAAACTATCAAAGGAATCAGATTAAACTATACATCATTCGATGCACAAGAATGTGGTGATTCCAAACATATCAAAAAAATTGGCAAAAATTGGCAAAATGATACTTTCCAGGCAAACCTTTTGCTTAAATGAGTGTACCACCTTCAAAAGCTATTTTGTACCCTTGCGTTCGAGGTAACACAATCTGACTTATATCAGCAGAAAGCGCAGATTCTTAGTTACCAAATGGTGTCGCAAATTTTTCAAATTCCTTCTCCTCTTGAAACCATACCCTGTCAAAAATCTCCTTGAAAGGCTCATAAAAGTCTTTAATGGTTACAAATGAAAATCATATGCTGAAATTCCTACCAGAAAAGGATCAACTCTGTACGGACACTTGTAAGACAAACCCTGTACATTAAATTTCATTCATTGTTTCAGACAGTTAAGGGAGGAAAAGTCAACCATGTACAGTAAACTTAGATCAAACTTTATCCAAAGGGACACATGGAGAAAGCTACCATCAGAAAGAGACAAAAGGAGGCCAGAGTGTCTAAGATCCTTAGATGCTAGTAAATCTACTGGACCAGACCAAATACCAGCAAAGATACTCAAACTAGCAATATCAGAAATTGAGCAGCAACTTACAGATATATTCAATAACAGCATACAATAAAAAAGATTCCCATCTGACCTAAAAGAAGCAGATTTTTCGCCTATGTTTAAGAACGATTCACCTACAAGCAAGGAAAATTATAGACCAGTCAGTATATTGCCTGCTTCTTCAAAAATAACAGAGAGAATTATTTTCAATCAGCTACACACTATTATTTGTCATCTGTTATCCCCGCTCCTTTGTGGCTATATCGAAGATCTAAAACAATGCATAGGTAGTAAGAAAATCATGGGCACTGTCCTTATTGATCTCTCTAAAGTATTTGATTGTCTCTCGCATAAACTCTTACTAGCAAAATTGGAAGCTTATAGACTTGGTAGAGATGCACTATTATTAACTAACTTTAACGATTGGAAAAAATAAAAAAAGGGTGTTCCACAAGGTTCCGTCCTTGGGCCCCTTTTTTCAAAATTTTCTTAATGACATATTCATAAACGTAGCTCAAAGCAAACTATGAAACTATGCTGATGATAATACCATATGGATTGAAGGTACTGACAAGGAGGACATATCAGCTAAACTAGAACATGAAATGAATATCATAAAACAATGGTTTATAGACAATGCTCTGCAGCTCAATGGAGACCGATGCAAACTTATCATGATTTCAGCAAAACCAAACAATGTCGAAAAATGTAGCATTTATGTAAACAGGCAAATAGTAAAAGAGGAAGATAAAAAAACCTTTAAGGCAAGTATCAAAACTATGTCAGCGATTTCTTGCTCATTTCACATTTGTAAACCATTCATAGGACAAGTTGGCTATATAAAATGACAGGGAACCTACTGTACATTGATGTATTCTATTAGCAATTCATTTATTACTGTTACATTGCTAAATTCGGTTTTTGTTGATATTTTAATTGGCTTTAATAAAGCTAGTAGTCAGGGGCGGTGCGCAGAGCTATAGAGTTGGTAATAGCTTCTATGATTCATTTCTATAAAAACGGGAATGAAACTGGGCACCAAGAAAAAGCTAGATGTAAGGGGCCGTTCGGTTTTGCAAGTGATCAAAAGACAGATGATAAAACTAAAAAATGCATTTCTCTAAATGAAGAAAAAAAAATAAATGTAAAAAGAACCACATTTATAAAAAATGCAACTTATCTATTTTTTGGAAAATCTTTCAAAACGTCGTGCATTATATGATTTAAATCGTGCGATAACGTTTTCTTTAAAATTAGGCATTGCATTCAAATGTCGTAACATTTTATGTTCTACTTGCAAAAGTAAAAGTTGTTCTTTTCTGCTTTGCTTCATTCTTGACCTTGAATCCGAAATGACACGTTTCATACGACTAAAAACACGCTCGCAGTGCACGCTGGTGAGAGGTGTTACGGCTGCTAACTTCAATAATGTCATAACTTGAGGTAGGGCTTCTTCGAGCTCGGCATCCTTTATCACGGACAGTAGATCCTGTAAACCGGCGTACCCTTCCTTTACTGAATCGAAGTCAATACCTTGTTTACTTTCGATCTCAAATTCGTCTTTTTCTTCAACATCGTCTAATGCCTCCCTTTCTACCGCAATATCCAATGCTGTTTCCTCGGATTCCGTTAAATGCTTCCTTCGACTTTCCTTTTTCTTGGCGACTACAGCATCTCTCTTGCACACTGCCTTGTTAAGTAGTGTCAATATTTCGCTATTTCCGTACAAGATTTCAAGGTTGTTTTCAACGGCAATCGGATCTGTAACAGCAAATGGATACAGGTTTTTCAGCTCATTGATTAATGCTCGCTGGTTAGCAGCAGATGCTTTCCTCCTTTCATCAAATTTGCTTGGGTGTATCAAATCAATCCACTTAAAATGATCCAAATTATCAAACCTCCAGTTTATTTGTTCGACAAAAGACTGGCAAACTTGTCTTGCAATGTTTTCCAAAGTCGATCTCCAGCTACTTTGTGAGCCATTTATTTCTTGATCCATTGCCCTCCATCCTGTTCTTGCTCTAACGCTTGGGAAGTTAGGGTCAGCAAGCAAAGTGTCCTCCCAGGCCTGACTGAAATTAAAACTGGATAAAAGGTTTACAAAATCGTTTATCATTGACCTCAGTTGAACAGGGTCCAAAGAGGGTTTCTGCATCACGGTGACTAACGGGGTGCTCAACTCAAAAATCTTTCTGTAAAGTTTCAGAAAGTAAACAAATTCCACATCCTGCATTTGAGTACCAAAACCCCTTGCATTCATTCGCTTGTGTTTCAGTCTTCTCTTTTACATCATGCGATATTTCATAGAAAGCTGTTCCAATCGCTTCGTAATGAGTATCGATAGCGCTTATAGCCGTATCACGGGAGAGCCAGCGTGTATCGCCTGGTTTTGGGAGATTGTGGCCAAGACTCGTTGTTCTCTTTGGGCTGTTTCTAAAAAATGTTATCAACTTGTCAACAATACCGAAGAATTTTGCAATTTTCGGAATTTTCATTGCTGACTGTGCAGCACAAAGTGACATTCTATGAGCCACGCAATGATTGTAAAAAGCGAATGGATAATGTTCCTGCACTTTTTTTTGCACCCCATTAAGCGAGCCGCTCATAACAGCTGCACCATCATATGATTGCCCAATAACTTTTTCTTTGCATGTTGCTGGCATTACTTTATATTTTTCCAGTGTGCTGAGCAATATGGAAGTAAGGTTTTCAGCAGACTGATCATCGGAGCAATCCACCACACCCAGCATATGCTCTTCAACCTCCCCATCATAAACAAGGCGCACAGAAACGACTGTCTGCTCCACATTGCTAGCATCGCTACTGTCATCCATCATTACAGCTATGAATGTAGATGCATCAATTCTCCTTTGAATTTCCCCCCTCACTTCTTCCGATAAGCACTCTATTAGTTCATTTTGTGGGCCATGAGAAGTATACGTTATTCGATCGTTGTCCAGAAATGATCGCAAATCGTCACTGTAGCAGGCAAGTAGCTCTAAAAGTTCAAGAAAATTGCCTCTGTTACAAGATGATCTTGACTCATCGTGGCCACGGAATGCAAGGCCCTGGGCTGCTAGAAACGAGGATATATCCACATGATGCCTCATTATTTTAGAATACCTTGAAGCATCGCGATTGTGCCGTGCAACTTTTCTTTGCCTTTGTTCATCAAGGGCACAAGCAATATCGATATTTCCAAGGAGCTTGTATGCCGTGTAATTTGCTACATGTTTCTTCGAGGCTTGATGACGATTAGCAATATGGGCTAAATTTGCTCCTGTTGAGCAAAATCCGTTTTCCTGAACGAAAGATACTTTCTTCATCTGAAAAAAACGAAATTAAATTTATTTGGAATGTTTTGCATTAAAAGACCCCTTAAAATGTTACTTGATATTGAATATGTTACAACAAATAGTAGGTAAAATATTGATTTAATAAATTCTGTTCCTGTCATCTATTGCGAATTATATACAACGCATTTCAATTGGACGGCTTATGGCCTTTTCCTTTAGCCGCTAAAAGGCTCGTTAATAGAACTGCAATTTTATTAACACGGGAGCCGATGAGAGCCCCTTCCATGACCATTGTCCATCCTGAGCTCTGCGAAAAGGACTGACAGAAATATTTTGATTTATTTAAATTTATATTATATATAAAAGAAATTTGTTTCTAACTTACTGTTGATAAGTCACCAATGACTAAACAAGGCCAACAGAAAAAAGTATTTTTTTCTTCATCTCCACACATCCATGGATATGCTTGATAAGCAGACTCACAGGATCTGTTCTTTATCATGACTTTAGGGCAAGGTCTACCGTTCTTTTTCATATCCAGGCGTTGCTCATGAGTTAACTTTCCTTGCGACGAAACGAGTGAAAAAACTTTCTGGACATCCCAGTGATGTTTAGTTCTATCGCTTGCTAATAAGCGCTTCATGTTTAAAAGATATCGGTCCGATTACGTAGTAGTCTCTGGCCACGTTAAGAGAATTTGAGAACTATTACCTCCAAAGCAAAAGCGTGCAATTTTTATTCACGAAAACAAAGGAGCCGAATCAATGGGTTATTACCCGCCTGGTTGTTTCGCAAGGCTAGTGGTAATAAAATTGCGAAACTATTAACGTGACGTTGGACAAAATGCTCATTGATAACAGATAAATACGCTCATTATGGTTTTTGTTGGCAATACAATAGTAATTTGTTTCATTCATATTGTTTGCGCTCTTAACACGAGATTCAATAAAGTTCGGTAGGCAAACGAATTCGGTTGGTTGCCTTTAACTTTTTTATGATTTTTAGCATACATAATCAGAGTTTTATTAAAAAAAAAATTGGTAATAGACTATTAACGTTATTACCACTGCCCGCCGCCCCTGCTAGTAGTGTATGTTTACCAACCTAAAAGAAATCAAAGAAAAAAGATAGGAGGAGAAAAACAGATGGCAAAAAAGGTGGACTGGATTGCATATCAGACAATGCAGACTCATTAGTGAGTAAATATTTTACATGAATAAATATTCAATTGTTAATGTGTAAGTGTGTTTATAATTATAGTTTTCTTTCAACTTGATAAAGGTATGCAGTTACCTATGCATAATTTTGTCGTATTACAAATGAGATTTCATCAAATCATTGGCTCAAATCACCAGTGATTGAAAACATTAAAAATATCCAAACTGAAGCTTAGTTTGAGAAACCAGAACCCAAGCATGGTCTTCGTTAGAGAGGGCATTCAGGTAAAATGCTATTGTGTCATAGATCATTCGGTGGCAACCAAACCAGTATACAGCAAAAAGAACTACAACAAAATTAGGAACGAACTCATGGAAATATTTGGATAAAGAATTAAAAAAGGCACGAATGGAGGATTATTTTGTAGAAAATCAAGGATAGAAGAGCTGTATTCCAAGCATATACCACTCAAACGAAAGAGAGGGTATCGGCCACTTTGGATGAATCAAATTGCACTTGTTGAAATTAATCAAAGACCCAAAACATATGATACCTCAAGGCAAAGAATAGAAAAGAATATGCAAACTACACGCTAGGGCCAGGAATCAAACAAGATGGTAAATTCATAAAGGCTAAGAAGGAGTAAAGAGCAGATGCTTCCCCCACCCCCCATGTCAAAAATTATCTTTGAAAAAGAGCGTTCTCTGGCGTTCGAAAGGGTGTAGACTCCAATTTTCCTTTGCTCGATTCGCCTTTGCCCCCAATCTTACCACCCTGGCTACGTTACTGCTCTAACTGTCTGTTGTCACTGGTTTCAAAAGATTCTACCTCTGTCTTTTTATACTTAACTGTACTACTTCTTTCATTCGTTCAAGGTATTTAAACTTTTCAACCCAAATTTTGAACTCTACAGGAAGCAAAATTTGAGACCATTTTTTCCTGTTGAGGTGGTCTTATGTTTTCTGAATGTTTGCTGATATTCACACTTATAATGTAATTATACTCTGTTTATAAACTTTCATACCATATAGATACAGATAAGAGACTCTTTGGATGATAAAAGCATCTCTTTTGACCACACCTTTACATTAACTGAGAAAACATACCGCTTTAATTTGGTTTTACTGACATGGTTGATGTTACGTTACGTTACGTTACGTTACGTTACGTTACGTTACGTTACGTTATGTTACATTATTTTATGGTATGTTATGTTATGCTATGTTACATTATGTTGTGTTATCTATGTTATTTTATGTCTAATAGACAAGGCGGAGAATAGGGGAATGGTCCCCTGAGGGCGAAATTTATGGGACCAAGTGCTTTTGGTCAATTCGAGGGTACTGATTCCGAAAATCGATGTTATACGGGGAATTTGAAGGGTCATCAGCCTCTTTTTCGTGTTTCAAGTCTCGTTTTCGTGTATTTTATGGAAACAAGCGGCAAAACAGTTTAAAGTGGAAATAGGTGAATTCTTAAAGTAGATTTGGTATCTTTGCTGGGCATTAACGTTAAACATTCAATTTTGGCTTGTCAGGGGGGCAAGCAGCCTTGTTTTCACAATGCTAATACTTCGATGTCAAATTACGTGTAAAATGAAGTCTTAACATAACAAGAAATAACAAACATTTTAAACGTAATTCATCTACATCTACCAATTACTGTCTCTCTGCTATAAAGAAGATTCTGACAGGGTGATAGGCTAGAGTGAGAGGTCATGAATATGTTCACAAAAAAGAGACGATTGAGAACCGAGTGATTGGAACCTAGGCCAAGCCGAACCTTTAGTCTCTTCCAGGTTTCTGGGTACATCACTTTCAGAAATAAGTAAAAGTAAACTACCTTTACCAAAGGAAGTTTTATTAGAAGTGTTGTCTATACCTTGTCAAAATATAACAAACACTTCATCACACCATCCACACATCGCAAATATGATTTCCTACATTTGCTATCACACCAACATTGGCATAAATGTAGAATTTTGCTGAAATCTAGTTTTTATCTAATTTAACATTATCGCTGGAAATGAAGTACGATTGAAAATGACAGAAAAAAAATTGTAGCATTCATTATGAATCAATAAAGACATCGGATAACCTGATACAAGTCAGAGTGGTCTCGAAACGCTTATCGACTGCAAGAACACGTGCGAGCCTAGGCGGTGAAAACCATCATGTTGAGCAATGCAGCAAGATTCCCGACACTATGGAAGAAAGCTCAGATTTCTTCTACCATAGAGAATGTTATTTAAAGTTTACTTATGCGAGAGCGCTGAAGAAAAGAAAGAAAGGTATGGATGAAGAGAAGGAGACTGGGACATTCAATCTCATACGATACCGTGAATGAAATCGAGACAGCGCAAGCAGACTTGGTAGAATATTTTCATTCTTCGGGTCTAAGCCTCCCAATTCAACCTGCTACTGATGGAAGCAACGTAAGTCAATTAGATTGTCAAATAGATTTTTGCTTTCACTTAACAAGAACGCTTTATCAATTACCAGGGGTAGGAGATTGGATAATTTATAAAAAATATGCTCATTACCTCCAAAATTTGACAAGGCTTTAAATCTAAGTAGAAAAATGCGACATCTTTTTCTTTCCTTTCAGGTTTCTACTATATTCTGGTGGGACAACTTTGATCGTAATGTCGAGACCCCTTTAGGCACTGGCTCATAATACACCAGGCATTGCTTTCCAAGAAGATAGTATTTTGGGACAGTATTAAGGAAAGAAGATGTCAGCGTCCCAAAAACGAAAAAAGATCTGTCAAACCTTCTGCTGCAGAAATTCAACCGTCTGTGAAAATCAGCCCGAAAGTATCACCACCGTCATTTGCAGGAAAGACCGAAGTGGTTTGTTGGTTGGATTGTCCAAAAATTTCAAAGGGCCCACAGTCAACCTTACTTAGATGATCCGCAATGATTGCCATTATTGTTATTTATCAATTAGTGATAAAACAGTCCTGCATCTCCTCTATGACATTTTAAAAATCAGCCTCGCTAGAGAAATGTTCAGCAGAAATTGTAAAATAACGCTAGTATATCGTGAAAACGAGACTGTTTTCCCCCTGAAAAGCCAAAATTGAATTTCTAACTTTAATTCCCAGCAAAGATACCAAATCTACATTTTAGAATTCACCTATTTCCACTTTAAACTGTTTTGCCAGTTGTTTCCATAAAATACACGAAATCGAGACTTAAAACACAAAAAAGAGGCTGATGGCCCCCCAAATTCCCCGTATAACATCAATTTTCGGAATCAGTACCCTCGAATTGACCAAATGCATTTAGTCCCATAAATTTCGCCCTCGGGGGACCATTCCCCTATTTGCTGCCTGGTCTATAAGTGATGTTATTTCAATTTTGTTATGTTGTTCAAAGCAAAAGTTGAGACAATTGCACAGTACTTTACAAACAGTACTTTACAATCTTTAGGAAGGTGTTAACTGGACCCATACAGGCCAAACCATAATATTCTAAAATATTCATAGACAAAATTCTGTATTTCACAACAAGACAAAGGTTTCAACAATGAAAAGTCCTAAATGTTACATATATTCCATAAAATGTCCGAACTGCAATTTGAGACACTTATCAATGAAATTCAAGAGCTTCGAAAGGAAAGTCCTGTTTAAAATCTTTTTTTATATCTTATCTGTTGAGTCAGTTTTCTCTAAGATACCATGGCTAGCAGCAACTTGAAAACGATTGGCAGAACTTATAAATTTTCTTAACAGTTACTATTCTCTGTCATCTCAAAATTTGGATGTAGATTAGTAAAACTGCTCTACATATTTATGATACACATGAAGGTAATCTTCATGTTCTTTTTCTGTCATTCTCTCCATAATTGAAGGGTCATCTAAAACTTTGGAAATAGGAATACTCTCTGAGCCTACCGTCACCATAACCTCATCATGGTCTTCATCATGATCATCACCATCACTCATTACTGTTTCCAAAGTGCTTTTTGCATTGGAACTTGTACTTGGTTTGACAGCAACTGGCACAGAAACAGGGGTATCATTTGGCTCAGAATCAGGCTCAGAATCTTCACTTTCACTTTTCTTACCACTACCCGTATCAAGTTTTGCTTTCTTTGCAACACTTTCATGTGCTAACAAATCTGACAAAATATCTTTATCCCCTATATGCTTGCTTTCTGTCTTCAATTGCTTTTTATCTGGTGCTTCTGCACTTGCTTGGTCCTCTGGATTATTTTCATACACAGTGCTTTGTGCCATCCAAACAGGTAGCTTTTTCACCGCATTCTTTTTAACTTCTTTTTCTCCATCATTACCAACATTTACACTAATACTCTGGTCATATAAATCAATAGTTTTTCTATCATTAGACCAACCGCCTTTGCTTGAACTTGCATTGCTTCTGTTAGCAGCAACTTTGAGTTGCACAGTTGTAGGTTCAGGTTCCAGTACCTCTGGTGCTAAATTTATGTTTTCACAGGCTCTCAGTAACTTGAAGATTGGCTCCATCTGCTCATTAAACAAAGCTAATGATGATTTGTTCACTGATCTGTGTTTATCAGCAGCAGCATCCTCCTCAACATCACCGCCACAAAATGTGCATTTAAGCATCCCTGTTGTTAAATCAAGCAAACGGTCTACTTCAAGATCTTGGTATTTATTCTCACACAATGTGCAGGTGAACGATGGTCGGTTTTTAGCTTGCTGTTCTTCACTCTCTAGTTTCTTTCTAATGTGATCCAACTTATATTTAACAACATTAACAAAAACCTTGTAGTTTATGAAATAAAAGTTATAAACATTAAAAGTACCCGTTTCTGGTTGTTTCTCTTTATGGACTCTTTGCTTAACCAGCTTATCCGACCTTAGACGAGCTAAGGCCTGTCTCAACTGCCTTTTATCGAAATTCAACCGGTCAAGAAGGCTCTCTTCATCAACACAAGGCACAACCGCCAAAAGACAAACTATTGCAATATGCTCTGCTTCATAAAAACCATAAGCTGTCATTTTAGCTAGTCTTTTAAGTATGGGTGGTACTTCTGTTAACAGTTCGGGCTCCTCTAGTAACGCTTGGTTCATTTTTCCAAGGTTCCCAAACCACTTGACCTCCGTAGAAAAAGAAAGTAGGCCTACATTTTTCAATCTATCGCTGCGAAGGAAACTTTGCATTTGAGAGGTCAGGTTCTAAAACGAGGTAGCCAATATTTATTACCGTGGCAACGCAAAAAGTTGTATTTTGTTGACTCCTGTACAGTGAAGTAACCTGAATTACAGTATCGAAACGCTTTTAAAAAAGGAAGATGGGTCAAGATTATTATAATATTCTTGGAATTACGAGAAGTGCTACTGATGCAGATATAAAGAAAGCGTAAGTGGTTTTATTATCAACTAATATGCCGTATGCCCGAATTGATAAGTCTTTTATTAAAGCACTTTTAGTCGATTGTGATTATTCAGTGATGAAGAGTTAATGCTCGAAACATCGTGTCAATAGTTCATTTCTTAATAGTTATCAATTTTTGTTCATTACTCGACGTACAACTCCGCACAACTCCATTGATTATCAATTTGTTTTATCAGTCTGGAACAAGAAAATATTAAAATATTTTTGATTCGTTACCTTTTTCGTAGATATCGAAAACTTTCCTTGAAATACCATCCTGAGAAAAATACTGATCCAGGTGCTGAGGCAAAATTCAAGCAAATCGCAGAGGCGTATGATGCTTTGAGTAGTGGTATGAGCGAGTTTGCCTTCATATTTTTGTGTGATTTGTAGAGAGAATATTAGCGAATCGTGAGCAGGTGCCTAGCAATCGATCTGTACCATTTCCCACTAGTTCAAAATTGGTGTAACTCAAGTGCCACTGTCCATAGATTTAAGTGCAAGGATGTCTCAGTGCATAAGGGTCATAAACTAGAGACCCAAGGCCAGGCTGGGGAGCATGCATGATTTTGGCTATGTTTGGCTGGGAGCAACAGTAAACTATCAGCTGCAGGCTACGAGGGAGGATATTTGAGCTGCAAGCAACAATCTGTAACTCAAATATACACAATTTTATTGATATTGTATGCGATATGCAAGTTTTTGAGCCTTGCCCAATGATTTAGAGCTAGAGTCCCTGTCATGACCAAACTTTCACCAAAGAGGGTAGTCACTAGCTCTCTGTAATTCCAAGTAAAGGAATCATAAGGTGTGGTCACTTTGAAAGGAAGTACTAGGATACTCCTTTAAAAGCATAGGTTCACAGTGTCCTAAAAAGAGCCTTCAGCAGGTGCTAGATAGAAACAATGCACAAATTATAAACACATAGCCACTAGGAAAATTAGATGAAGATGTCCACATATAAGTTAGGAATGAATAATATTCATGGAGGTCCTGTTGGTTAAACACAATCAGATTAATTATTCATTTGTATAAAAACATTGTCCCTGATTTGCAGAAAAGCGGAGAGCTGTTTATGATCAATTTGGAGAAGAGGGTTTGAAAGGAGGAATCCCAAATGTTGAAGATGGCAAGTTGAAAGATAATATGCTTTTTGTTTGATCTTTCATGGCATGCTCAAATTTAATCTTTGCAATTAAATCAGCAAATTCAAAGTTATGATGTGACATCATCATGTTGTGGCATTTGTCAACTGGAAATGAACTTAATTAATAAAACTGAAGTGAAGATAAATATGGGAATGACTACAAAGCCATTCTCTTCATAGAAGTCTTGGTTATTTTTGTTTCATGCTCTAGTGCTGCAGCCACTGATGGACTGCATGCATGCCTTTTTAGGTATTTCATTCACAAAAGATTTGTTCCCCTTTCTCTGCTTTAAACTTGTCTCCCTTTGCAGTTGTGAAAGTACATCTCCATTATCTTTTTTCATGAAGATTCTCATGTTTGAGCATCTAGCAGCAGGGGTGAAGCTAAAATAATTTTTGGAGGGGGTAAAGAAGATATTTTTGTTTACAAAAATGGTGTGTCTCACTCTTTAAGGGTGTGGTCAAATAATAAATACTCTTATATGCTACTTATATGCATTTCTGTTTCAAATTTCATATTTTAGTGCCATAATTTAAAATATCAACTATTACAGAATTGTTAATACATTACAGTTGTTGTAAAAAGATTACAGGATGAGCACAAAAATCGCTTCTTTTCCCTGGTAAAAATCCTTAATGTGCTGACAGACAAAGTTTTGGGGGGCTGAACCTCCCACACAAATTCATGTCAGGGTTATCTACTCAAATGACTCCTCCATTCAAGTCTCTGTTACAAAGAAAACGTGATACAGTCCTTCAAAGGGGTATCCTTTCTGCAAGCCAGTTTCAAGAAATTTTGCAGCTTTTGCATGGAATTTTCCAACATTCTTTTAAATTTTCTGATCACCTCTTTTGATCACCAAATACATGTTTAAATATATATTATTGTATTCAACTTCAACCTATCTTACTACCCTTTAAGCAAAATTGTTTTTTTAGGTTTTATAAGTTTTAATAATTTTTATTTTTTTCTGTAGAGAATTTCTCAAAAGGCTATGTTTTTCATGGAGATCCTGATAAAGTGTTCAAAGAGTTTTTTGGAGGGAACAACCCATTTTCTGGTAGGTTGTGTAAAATCCTGTGTAGATGATACCATTAAAACAAACAGAGGCAAGAAACTATTTTATGTAAGAAGGAAGATATGGGGGATAGGCTGTCCCGTGAATATTGCAATGAGTAATTAGATCAAAGGTTAAAGGTAGAAACAAAGAAAAAAGATGACAAGAATCCAATATAATGTAAACTCAAATCTTATAATACTACTACTATGATAAAGCCCTGTATGCCGGGAAAAATATTTGTTTTACATTTAATTTATTCATAATGCAATCTTACTACATATTGGATTCTCACCTTTGTTTTGCATTGTTCCTGCTTGTTACCATTCAAGAAACTATTCATTTATAAAGGCTCTAGAGGTGGATATTCTAAGGGAGCACTGACCTCTAGTTTAGAGAAATTATCAACAAAAGCCCTTCTAATTTAAATAAAGGTTTTGTATCATGCTTGAAATTAGATTGCCACCACCAAAACTCTACCATTCACACCTTCAAGGGAGAGGAGGAGGTTGAAGCAACAGTATTTTTTATAGTTCAAAAAAACAGCTTCTGTTTCAAGAGATCAACAAAATGAAAGGAAGTTTAAGCTTGAAGAAGTACAAAACTCGAATGAGATTGTGTTGTGTTGAAATAGCATGCAACACAAACGTATGTGTAGTTATACACCATCCTGTTAACGAATATTGAAGGCCTTCTTCTGCTTGAAGTATTCCAACCAACATTATGAGTCTTAATTAATTTCATAAATGAATTTTTGTCTTTAGCTAAATATTTCAAATTTAAGAAACATTTTTTCCATAGAATTCTTTGATGTCAGCCAAAATGAAATCGACAATGGCTTTGCTGGCCTTCAAGGCAGGGGCAGGAAAAAACAAGATCCTCCAATTGAAAGAGAGCTCTACTTAACATTAGAAGAAGTGTACAAAGGATGTACCAAGAAAATGAAGATATCAAGACGTGTACGTCTATTTGTCTTTAAAATGTGATTTTTGTCTCTTGTTTTAAAAAGAAAGGAGAAGAAAAAAAGAGTTTTCAGAAATGAAATGTCCAGCAATTTGCAATTAGAAGGTCACACACACAAGAGACAAGCTTTTGTTACTTGTGTTACATAATAATAAACCTCGTTATACAATAGCCTTATTTAGAACATTACAAGAAATATAGCATGTGGATGCTTGATACTCTTTATCAAGCCCTGAACTTCATTTGAAATTTCACATATTTTGATTTAGGTAATGAATGAGGATGGTCATACATCAAGCATCAGAGATAAAATATTGACCATTAATGTCAAACCTGGATGGAAACCAGGTACCAGAATAACATTTGAAAAAGAAGGTGATCAAGGACCGAACAATATTCCTGGTAAGAGAAGTATTTAGAGTATTTCTCTCTTGATTAAGAATCTTTTGACTGAAATTACTGTACCAGAAGAGCTCTGTGCTGAAGGGTCAGTCAAATCTAAAGTTGTTATGACTGTTCAAAGACAAACTTCAGGGCAGAGTATTTTTTATAAGGTCATGAGCCATTATTTTTCTAACGGGCAAAAATTTTCTGAAAATGTTGAGTGTCTCAATTTCTATAGATTTAGTCATCTTTTAAGTGCAGAAAAGAAAGATTTGAAGATGACACGCAAAGAGCGGAAACATAGCATACTAAAGCACCTTTTGCCTGACACTCCTCAGATTATAAAGGTCAAACACTGGCTGAAAGTAGTTAGAAAATGTATACCAGGTGTGGGTCAAAAGCAATGTGAGAGGGGAAAAGGCACATTTGATTGGTTTATTTCTTGTTTACCAATCAGCGACTGCTAACCTCTCACCTAGTTGAAGATTCCAAAAGAGAACTCTTTCTGTCATACATACATCATATTCGATGTCATGTAGGCAGAGTTGAACATATTTAGAGTTTAGAACTGGCATCTCAGTTGCCATTCCGGGTTTCACGCTTAATTGGACCATAAAGCGTTCCAAGTTTCAATGTTAATTGGACCATATAGCGTGAACTGTTTCCTAATGAACATTACATTTAGCATGAACTCTGAGTAGCAATCTAGAACTGACCTGTTCTATATACTAAAGCTCATAGTCATATGCTAAAGTGAAGGCGGAGTCATGAAAAATGTTAGAGTAGGTGAATGGTCGAGATATTTTGTATTTGAGATCGCAGAAGTCAACTGGAATTGCATTGAACACTTTCCATAGCACCAGTGCATCTTTCTCATAGAAAACGCCCTATTTATAAAACATTGGTCTTGAATTTAGGCCTTCTCTTAAACTCTGTCTTAAATTTGTCATGAAGAGAAAATTTTGAATGTTAAATCAGTGTAATCATATAACTTGAAATAAGCCTGATTGTTTTTTAGCTAACATCGTATTTATTGTAAAAGACAAAGAGCACAGATCATTTCGAAGAGATGGGAATAATATTGTATACACCACCAGTATACCACTTGGAGAGGTATCATTTTACGAATTTATTTTACTTTTACTTATCATCAAAACATTCATATTTAATGAAGTGTCAGTCGAAGAGTTTTTTCTATTTATGAAACGATATGGCTCTTCATTTTGATGAAATCTTTAAACTTGATGAATTTCTTTGCCAACTAGTTTAGTATGGAGTACCTCATGGGTCAATTTTGGGGCCTCTTTTGTTTTTTATTCATTTTAATGAATTAGCAAGAGTTGTAAAAGAATGTAACATACACATGATGACACTGTCATTCGCGTATCTCATAAAAAAATCATTGAGGTGGAAAAAGCTCTGACAACTGATGTGGCAAACGTCGCAAAATGGTTAGAGAACAACAGGCTTATCATAAACCTAAAGGGAGGTGAAACAGAAGCCATGCTTTTGGCATTGCCAGAAGGCTACACTCTTAACAATGATTTAAAAACCTGGATAAAAGACCACTTGTGTATATTTTGTGAGAGGTTACAAGTGTCTTGGAGTGCTTTTGGACCCTAGCCTTAATATGAAAGAGCATTTACATAAAAAATTTAAAAAGTGCTGTAGCACGTATAAAGCTTTTGAAAAGAACGAGGCAGTTGCTAACAACTATTAAATAATTTAAATTGACAAATTTAGAAAATTGCACCGAAGTTTCTCTTTCACTCTACCATTATAACATTTGAAAATCATAACCTCCACATCTTATTTCAGTATACCATTCAATTCAGTGTGATACGAATGATATTTTGAAGGCTTTTCAAGTTGCTTGTTGTGTACGGATTGTAAAAAAAGATAAATATATGTGTTTACGCTGTAACATATTTGCTTCCTAGGCATTGACGGGCTGTATCGTTGATGTTCCAACTCTTGATGGAAGGCTCCTAAATATCCCGATCAACGACATTGTAAGGTAAATTGAACCAAGAAGCATTTGTCCATGCATGCCTTAATAAATTTCTCATCGGGGAAAGTTCGGTCCTTGTCTACATTTCATACGTGAAAAAACTTACTGGGAATAAAAAAACCTCCTCTCTTTTGCCTTTAAGAGATTTTTACCTGTTCCTTTATCTTCAATCGTTTTTAAAGCAATTGCCTAGGAAAATAAATGATTATAGACGATAAAAAGTCTCGAGAACAGATGTTAAACAGTGTCAAGTAAGAAAATCTTTTAGTATTTTATTAGATCATCAAACAGCTATTACAAATTTGACATTTGCGGTCACCGGGGTCCATAACTAGATTCAAAGCTTTTTCTGCATCGAAGTCAATTTACAGCCCTGTTGTTGCAGCCTAATTCTAAATTAATGTTTACATATAAGGTAGATGCCATCAGCTTCATACTAACCTATATGCATGGCTTACGAAACGAAGCTGAAGGCTCATCAAATATAAAATTCCCACTTAACTTTTGAATCTTTTAAGAAATTACCACACGTCTTCCGTGTCGCTTTTCGATAACTAGTAGAAAGACTATCGACATTCAAATGACAAATCAGATGGAGGAGCCCCTTCTCCTCCTTGGCAGAAAAAATCAAGCATTTTAGAATTCAATCTTTATTCAAACAGCCTTTTTTGTGTTGAAATAAAATTATGTCAATGCCTGTTTGTTTGTACACCAGTCATTCATTTCATTTCAATTCATTTTTAGGCCTGGTTATACAAAAACCGTTAAAGGTGAAGGCATGCCAGTGACGAACGACAAAACGGGACGGGGGGATCTTGTAATCGCGTTCGATATCCAGTTTCCCACTCATTTGTCCCCCGAGCAGAAGGACTTGCTTGCAAAGGCACTGAACGTGCGGTGAATGCGTTGCGTTTTGTTTATATCTTGTTTGTATGTTGTAGCCTTCACCGTTTTCGTAGCTCTGATTTTTAAAGTATATAAAAAGCCCTAATGATGTATTTTGAGGGAACTCTTCTTTAAATAGGAAGTTACGTAATCATTTACATAAATGCTTGCGCATGCTCGTAAAGTTTGAATACTCGCTAGCTATTGAAAAAACAACTCATTCGCCGAGTGTGAATGCGCAAAATCCCAGGTAACCACTAATGTTATCTCCTCTAGCCCTCGGATACCTTTTCTTTGGCCATCAGGGGACCTCTTCGCTAGCCATCGGGGATCTCTCCTCTAGCCCTCGGGGACCTTTTCATTGGTCATCAGGGGACCCTCTTCGCTAGCCATTGGGGGTCTTTCCACTAGCAATTATAGGATGCCTTTAAATGATCACTTCCTCCAAAAATCAAATGTCTCTTTGGGTGCACAGTGTCAATTATATAGCTTCACCTTGCGACCGAAGTTGCAACCCACATCTCAGTTGACTCTGCTCTTTTTTCACGAATGATCTGCTTTTATACAACAAAGGAGAGCAAATATGGATGCCTTCACATTTATTTGAACAAAACGCCAAAAAATCACCCGATATGATGAACGAAGAAAATAGGATATTTTTCTCATCAAATTTAGGTAGCGTTTGAACCTTTGCTAGATATCCACCAAAACGGATCAAATTGAAATCGGTACAATGCAAAAGGGCATTAAGATGATCTAAAATCGAAAAGAATCAACTGTAAAGAAGGGGCAGAGTTCCAACTGTGGTACATTTTGTACATTTCGGTTTTATTTAAACTTGAGAAAACGACATGTATAATAAATGAACGCATTTCCAAATGTTCCCTAAGTTTCTCAAGAAATAATTAAAAACGATCTTCAGAAAACACTCACCTAAACAGGACACCAATGCATACCTCATAATCAGAGTTTCGAAATAAAACAAATATTTTTGCCTGCTTCTGCAGCACCTGTTGCATTCAATCTTCGGACCAGCCGAACTTCCTTATCTCGAAAACTCAAAACAAATCGGATGCTTTTGAAGTCGCAGGGTATCGACATAGCACTACGCAGCTTTTTATCAAAGTCCCTATATTGAGCAACAAAAGTTGAATCAAACCCCTTAAGTACTAAAATCACCCAAACAAGTAGCAAAGGCGCTATTAGTCTCCTTCACTATACAATAAGCAATTCATTCTTCAGAGACGAACAAAAATTTAAAGAAAACTTTTCATGAAAACACCCACCTGAAGAAAAAGCTAGAAAATCTATGCGTAGGGTCCTCTTCCAACCAGCTTTTTACAGAAAATCCCAACTATCTTAAAACAAAAAAGGGTTCACAGTCTAATTCTATGAGTCTATAAGCATTGCGCTTATTTCTCCCCAAAAGATTGTATCATCCTCTTGTCTTAAGTTGTTCCTAGACGTTCTTTTAACTTCTCTTTCGCAAGATTTATTTCACTTTGTAGCAAGATTCACCATTATCGAGAAAAGAAAATTGCCCAATAGTATAAAATACCTTGAGTAGGTATTGAGTTATGACTTATTAAAAGATTCTCTCCGGCTTTTTCAATTTATTTTTCTGTATCCTCTGAGTAGCCCCCCCCCCCCCCAATATACCCTGATTATTAATTCATGTAACTTGGCGCAATCGAACTTTTGACTTCAGGGGCACATGATAGTATACAATACTGTAGTCAAGGAATAGCATAAATATATATAAACAAACATATACCAATATGGACTGCTATATCTAAGGAGATTGTTACTTAACCACTGTATAATGGTTAAAGCTACATCTAATCTTACCTAATTAGTAAACCAACGCACTGAAAATCTGTGAGTGGTTAAAATGCAGTCATTGATCGATTTACATCAAGATTAAAGGCAATCTGTCTCGTTGTGGATTGGTTAACGAGAACAATAGCTGGAACAATAGCCTAAACACGATTCCAGCGCTCCGCCATATTTTTTACAATGCCATAAATTAAAGGGGGGCTGGAAACAATAGAAAATCCCTTTGTTCTTATAATCAATCAACGTCGTGACAGATTGCCTTTAAATATTTTAACATAACGGCATACCACCATTATATACACATATTGCTTCCTGAATATTTAATTTATTGTAATTACTACCTTATTTAGAACCTGAATTATGTTTCCAAATCCTTTAATATTCGATATCAGTCAAGTTTTAGTAGTCAATGATACAACAAAGGAAAATAAAAATTAAAAAAGTAACTCACAAATAGAAGTAAAAAATCAAATTAAGCTAGAATTTTTAATCCATTTAACACTTATAGTATAAATAAGTATAAATAAGTAATTAAAAAAATGCAAGATTAAAAAACCAATAAAAGAATAAAAGTCGCAAGAAAGCCCAAACTGGCCTAAGATTTTAGTTTCACCAAACAATTCATTTCAGTAGAGAGTATTACGTCATATTACACAAACCTAGCTGAAACCTTTGCTTATTCCGCTACCACCGAAAATGACGATTTTCCAACGCAAAGTAAGACCAGCCTGAGCTCCGGAACATTATTACTATCAAACCAAATATTTCAAATTATTTTCCATAACTTGTCCTGGTTTCCAGTTATTCATCCATAAACTGTTTTTGTCCAAAATTTATCCTTAAATTTTCCATAAATTGTCCTTGAATACTCTGATCATTTCAGAAATTTAAATTCATAACGATGCTAATTATTTTGGCATATTCCATTCCTAAATTTGTCCTTAAAATATAATTTTACCTTTTAACCCTAAATTTAGAGACTTTATCAGAGAAAATAAAAACGTCTTCCTTCAATTAAAGATTTTGAAAAAAACAACATTTTTAATATTTAATGTTGTAAGGGAAAGTCATTAGCCCAATATCTAGGTCTTGATCACACACATGAGCCACCCTTTAAACGAAATAAGTCTTTTGTGACTTTTGTGGAATGGAACTTCACAGCTACTGGCGGTTTTAAGATCCTAACTATAAAGCAAAGAATAAACCGCGGAAGAAAGAGACAAGAAATTGTCCCTTCCAAAATGAAGAGATAAGAAATCAAAATGTCTGTTTAGCTATGACCCAAATATCCAGATGGCAAGAACAAACTCACATTATCCAAGTACATTTCAATCTTCTTGCACTTCTTCCTCTAATTCTTTCCATTTTGCAACCAGCTCTGAAATTAATGTTATGTGAGTATAAGCTTTATGCTTAGTTTCTGTTATAGTCACACAGAAAATTATAAAATCAATAATATTTGTTTGATCCACCAAATTGGAAACGTGCTTGTTGATGTGTGTTTTGAAAATTCTCTAAGGTTAGTCTTAATTATTTCATGTTCATATAATATATGCAATTGAAATTGCACCAGCTAACAATAAAACCTACTTGGTAGTTTTCAATACATTACACTAAACGTTACACATCGCCGAGTAGAACACAATAAGAGCCTAAAGGCAAGGTACAATAATGCATTTGCAGTAACACGAAACTACTGTAGAATCTTGCTTAATATTACCAACTCAAAACGATCGCCAATATGGGCAGAGAAAAAACAAGTATACGAAAGCTTTTAATTGTTCCTTCGTGCAACTACTTTGCAATGCAAAGTTCATAAACCACGTGGAAATTAATTACCACACATCAGAAATATGAAAGAAAGCTTCTTATTAGTTCATCTGTGAAATAGGCATACTGGGTGGGATGGGCACTGGATAGGATGATTCAAAACAAAAATACCAGGTAAGCAGAATACTTCAATTAAAAACCGAGCTGCAATTTCTGTTTTTGTTAGAGAAAATGCAAGAAATACGATTAAATACCAATGATTAGTTTTTGAAATAAGACCTTGTGAATCAGCAGCATATATCTCGTACAAAGGAGGAAATTTTGTGCTGTTTCGGAAGATCAGTTAACAGCATTTTCACATCATAAAAATAGAACGACTAATTCGTTCCGATTCCGTTCTTTACCGTTCTTTAAATTCAAGCAGACCTTCGATCACTTCTTCCATTCAGACGGATCACTTCTTAAAACTTCAGGCAAACCTAGGAACCTATGTCTAGAACAGTTTCTTTGAAGGATAATTTTACAATTTTTTTTATAATTTATGACGAGTTTTAGCACTTTAAAACTGAATGTTTACATTTTGCAAAGTGCATAAATTTGTATAATTTAGTTTTGCAAAATGTAAAATAGTGATCATAGCTTTGTAGCGTCCTAGGCAAGGTTGTTTCCCCTGCTTTTGTCATGTTAAGGGTAACATAGATACATAGATACAAAAAGCTCGTCTCTGGGTCACATTTTGATGCTGAACGCAATGATTAGATAATTTGACTATAGTACGCTTCCCATGGCTTCAAGCAATCCAAAAGGCTAAACAAACAAAGAGTGCAAAAAGCATAACAACGCCCTATATACCTCGTATCTCTTTCTTCCTGTGTTCGTGTGCGCCTGGCTTATAATACTTTATGCGTGTATTCTGGAAGGAAAAAAAAGAAATATATGCTTAACCAAAAGGGTCGTGAGAGAACCGCTATATATCAAGAAGCGATGGGGGTAAAGGTAGCAGTATTTGAAGAAGAGACAAAAGGGGTGTAGCAATAAAAATACGAGGTAAATAGAATAAATATTTTTTGGTAAAAATACAGGGACGATTGAAAAGATGTTGTTAAAAATACGGGCGTGGTTGAAGTTAATTGAAAATATTTATATACGAAAGATATGAAGGGGTGTGACAGTATTGTTAATAATATGGGCGTGGTTGAAATTAACTGATAATATAAATATATGAAAGATTTGAAGAGGTGTAGCAGTATTGTTAGTAAAACGGGCATGGTTGAAATTGATTGAAAATATTTATATACGAAAGATTTGAAGGGGTGTAACAGTATGTGTAGCAGTATTGTTAATAATACGGGCGTGGTTGGAATTGATAGTACAAATTGTAAGAGGGGGGATAACAGGGGCAGACACAGGTTTAACGGTGAATATACGGAATAAACATTTTGGGCCGTAACAAGTGAAAAACCAATTCAGTGGAAAAGCAGTAAAACCAAAAATTCGATCCTAGCGG